TAAGAATAAAGACACTAGTCTCCGGAAAATGGAGATCCAACACAAGAGAAAGTGAAAGGAATCCCAGAATAATGGTTGTGTACCAAGCCAAGAAGGCAACCAGTCAAGAATGGAGGTCAGGGGGTATGAAACTTCCTAAGATAAAATTGTTAACAGTATCTGATATTGGAACATCTTAAAAGGCATCTGATGAAAAGTGGAATTAGTGATAAATATTGAGAACACTAGGCAAAGAGGTAAAAAAAAGATAATGAACTCCAGCCAGATTACTCTGTGGTAAAGAGTAAACAAGCCACATGGAAAAAGAATTAAAAATATGTATATATATACATACACATATATATATAGTAGAGACAGGATCTTGCTATATTGCCCAAACTAATCTCAAACTCCTGGCCTCAAGCAATCCTCTCACCTTGGTCTCCCAGTGCTGGAATTATAGGCATGAGCCACCATGGCCAGCCCCACACTGCAAATTTCTAATCAGCTCTTTAGTCCTTTAACACTTATTTGCAAGCAGATAATCAAGACTTACCAGACATCTAAGGAAAGGTTCTACAGGAAAGGTAGAGCCCAAAACATACAAAAATGGGAAGAGGGTGGGGAAAGGAGGGGCAACTTGGAGAAAACAGACAATGCTGACAGATGAAAACTTGGGAGTGGAGGAAAACCCATTTCTATTACAGACAGGTGGAGACAGAAAAGGGAAACAGCCACAAAACACTGTACAGGATAGGAAAAGTAGTATTTGACAATACTGAATAATCAATAGTGATAACTACTGGGAGGAAGGGTACCGGGAAAAAAGGAGACCAGGTAGATAGATGGTAACAACAAAATTAAATCTTCATTTTCTATCCAGGAAGTTAATAAAGACAAAAACAAATGAAAGGTGTATTTTATTTAACAAATATTTACATAGGGCATGTGAGTTAGACAGAGTTCTAGGGAATTTCCAAATTAATTCAATTCTTATGTCAACCCTATGAGGTAACTACTATTGTCATCATTTTTTTAATGAGAAAATTGAGGCATAAAGAGGATAAATAGCCCAATGTTACTTAAAACTAGTAAATGACAAGAAAATTCAAATCTAGGCAATCTAACTCCACAGTCCATGCTCCTAACCAGCAGGGTATGTTACAAATCTAGTAGTAAGACAAGCAAGTTATTTAGAGACTGGGAGGTAAATACCACAATAATCATCTAAAAGAGATGAAAGTGATTATTTCTAGGAAAGGAAAACTGGAAAGTAAGGCTGCAGGAAGCTCTTCCATGTATTTCTTGGACAACCATTTAAACTATCTTTAAACTGTGCATGTATATCTTGAAAAAAAACTTTAAAAATTATAATTCGGTATTTTAGTTAAAGTATTTTAACTGATAACTACTGCCATCCTCAGAAGTAGGCAAAATGAGTATTACCCCTATTTTATAAGTAACATGCATGCCTCTTAAATATTTGAGGACCTACTATAAAACAGGCACTGTACTTAGAAGACAGACATCAATTCACTTAAAAATGTTGAAGAGAGGTACAAAAAAAGCAAGTCTTTTTATCCATTTCCTTTCCATTTGTTGCATAAATTATATGATCCTGCATCTCTCACAGTTGTGCTTAAGGGACAATATAAACTTCAAATCATGACAAAAAAAACAAAATCAGAGAAATGTCTGCTAATTAATTCAAAAAAATACTTTGTCCCTGCCCTTGAGGAACTTCTAGTCTTGTGGGAAAGACTGGTAAACATAATTATAATTGAATGTATATAGTGCTTAAATAGAGGAATATTAAAAAGTGCTAAGGAAACAACATCCCCTGAGTGAAAACAATGCTTTGAAGAGAACATCTGAGCTAAGTCTTGAAGGATGTATGGAAGTTTGACCCATTTCACATTAAGAGGCTGTGCTAATAATAACGGTCACAAAACATAAAAGATGAAATATCTGTATTTTCCCATTCTTGTAAAGGAGAATTCACGGTTCATGTTATAGTCTAAGACATTAAGACTTTTTTTTTTTTTTTTTTTGAGACAGGGTCCTGCTGTGCCACCCAGGCTGGAGTACACTGGCGTGACCCCAGCTCACTGAAGCCTTGACCTCCAGGGCTCCAGTGATCCTACCACCTCAGCCTTCCAGGTAGCTGGGAACTACACACATGCGCCACCATGCCTGGCTAATTTTTGTTATTTTTTTTGTAGAGACAGGGTTTTGCCATGTTGCCCAGGCTGGTCTCAAATTTCTGGGCACAAGTAATTCACCCACCTCAGCCTCCCAAAGTGCTAGGATTACAGGTGTGAGCCACCGCACATGGCCTGACATTAAGACCTTTTAAATAAGAATGATTTTTTTCAAAACAAGATACATAATCTTAACACCCTGATCCATGTTTATAGTCTCTCCCAGTGATCAAGTGAAGGCACTTTCCACATGTCTAAACATTTTATAATCTAAAGTGTTAGAGTATTATTTCAAAAGATGACTAAAAGATAACCATCCTCATTTGTCCTACTACCCAAGTTATATTGTTAACACATTTCCTGATTCACAATATTAAAATTATATATGTAGTCTCTCTCTCCTGAGACAAATGGTGACCAAGCCCACAAGATGCAAGTGACACAGAGGCTACCATGGGAAGAAAGGTTTTAAAAGTTTTTAAATCATATCATTGTTTTCTCTTGTAGTTATTCTTAATTTATCTTTCAAGTGCAAATTTAAATGAAATTAATTTTTTTCCAAACTGTAGTGATAAAAGAAATAATCTTCAGTAAAACACAATGAAGAATATAATATATATATTTTCTGATCTTACGAGTTGTTTTAGGGCTACATTCCGATTTTACAGAATTTAAGATATGGCTAAAACAAAAATTTTCTGGTTTTTAATCACAAAACTTTGATGTTAACTAACCAAGGCCCAAATAGGTAGTAAATTCAAAACAGTCCCTGCTCTTGAGGAACTCCTGGTCTTGTGGGAGAGACTGGTAAACATAATTATAATTGAATGTGTACAGTGTCTGAAGACAACTTGTTATATTAGATCAGTATTTCCTTATTTCTCATTATGTCTTCTTGTTCCTTTTTAGAATTCCATAATTTCCATAATTGGCTTATTAATCCTTTTAGCAATTATTATCTGGAAAAATTAATTTTATATTAATATCTTAAACTGGGACCCTATTCCTATAATTAAAAATCTAGTTGAAAGTAGCATCATCTGACTTTGTCTGGAACAGCAAGCTGTGGAAAATCCTATCATGTCCTACCAATAGGAGGAAAAAGAGGGGAAAGACAAGCCAGGGGACCACAAATGGTAATTACAAAATCAAGGCAAGTTTGAATTCAAAATAAGTGTTTTCGTTTGTGTATTTTACCCATCTTTTATTTCTCTAAACTTAGCATCCACATAATATAGCTGTTTTTATAAAGGCTTCACTCAAATCATAAATTTGACTTAAAAAACATTAATAATTGTGGTAAATAATTCTTTTAAAATTACAGGTATTAGTATGAGAAAATTAAAGGTTTAACAATAATAATGGAACAATTAAAGAAAGTACCTCCTAAAAGTTTATCTTTTAGACTACAGTTTTGTACAAATAATACAGAATACATTTGGTTAGGTAACAAGGTTTTAATTACATGACTATTAGAAAAATAATAAAAATCCTGAAAGACAAGACTTTATCAATTTAACCATGTCTTTACCTTATTTTTTAAACAACTAAATAACAAAAACCTCACTGAAACATTTGACCTTTTTCTAAAATTACAATTATTTTGCAATATGCTCAATTTTTCCAAAGCAAAACCCACAAACATACATATAAAATATAAATGCTTATATTAGCTTGATGAAAGTTTACTCACAAAACCCTCCAATACTAAAATAAGTAAATATCTTGCATGCTTAACTCCAAATTCCACAGTGAAAATGATGTCTTTTCATAACTCCTATAATAGTATTTTAATCAAGGTTAGTAACAGACTGGCAAATTTGTGAAAGAACATTACTTTAAAAATCAAGTAGGGTTTAAAACGATGTAGAAACATGAAAGATTTCACAACTTTTCTAGCCAGTCAGCTTCAAAGACACAATTTGATTCAGTAAGAGTTACTGGCATATTATTTTCAGTCTGTGGAAAAACGCTTGGTTTAATAATGTACTTTAGGCTTTCTGTATCTTTTTGGTAAGGAAAAAAAGGAAGAGGTGGAGATTAGCCGGAGACCAAGGTCTTATTTTCATGCCTCTACAAATTCAATCCTCCAAGACTTACTTTCTTCTATTCTTTAAAATGGCTACCACCTTGATCTACCATGCAAAAGAAAAAATGTACAGCATACTATCAAGATAAATCTGGTTATTTTGATAGTTTATGTCCTCCTTTCCCGCAGAATACTTTAAGATTCCCATTCCTTTACTGTTCAGATAAAATGACCATTAAATAAGCAGACAAAAGTTGGTCAGTTGCGGTATGAGGGCAACCTATATAACCCAGATTAAGTCATCTTTCATACCGTATCTGACTAGGAAAAGCAGGCAACAATATCTTTCACAGACTAAGATCAAACAGTAGAAATGAAAAAAGGATGTCTAGTAAAGGAGAACAAACGTGGGAACCACAACCCCCCAAGAGATTATTTTAGCAGCTCAAAATAGATTAACTATTATGTGGGCTAGCAAAAATTAAGCTTTCCATAATTAATATTTCTAAAAAGCATTTTATAGATAATAAAACCACTTGGTGCCCCCAAACCTATTTTTAATGTGAACACATGCTCAACAACTATTCTGAAAATATTGTTTACATATTACTATTTCCTACCCACTCTGAAACCATTCCATAACTCTTGCTCTATAAAACTTCCCATAAAAATGCATTCTTCACAAAAATGAAAATATACAATGCTTTGAACTAATTTTGTGCATACATGTAGCTACTAAATAGATAATTTCAAATCTGTTGAATGTCTCCAGAAATATGACATGATCTTACCTCTCATCCTCGCCATCCACCAGGGGTGTCGTCAGCGGTAGCACCTTCAACGGGAAAAGAGAAGCAGAGGCTGCTAGGCTGCTGCTACTCCCATCTGAAACTGCTGACATTCCCCCACTGTCACCACTGATAGTCTGAGGTAAGCCAACTAAGGAGGGCTCCGCTGGGCGCCTGGCATCTTCAATTTGGCTTCCAATTGCCTGAGCTAATGATTGTGCAGAGAACTGGGTAGAACTTAGTGGTATCTGTTGTGCCAAAGGCAAATTTATATTAGTTGCTATCAAGGGAGATTGACTAACACTTTGAACCAAATTACCATTTTGGGTAGCAGGGGTTTGTGCTATATTTTGTGGTGGAACCAAGTTTGCTGGGGCAGAAGGCATTCCAGAAGGACCAGTTGAACTAACCTGACTTGTAACAGAAATACTGCTAGCAGAGGGCAAAGGACTAACTGCAGGCAACTGCTGTGAAACAACTCCTTGAGCTACTGGTTCTACTCCTTGTGGCTGGGGAGGCACAGTTAACAAGGTACTTTGGGATGCAATAACCAATTGTTGAGGAAGGCTTGCAGCGCTAGTTTGAACTCCCTGATGAATAATCCCAGTTTGAGCAGGTGGAACCACTTGCGAAGATGGAGGAGCACCTTGCTGAATAACTGAAGGTGGAACCTGGGTAGAGGGCTGCTGCACTGCAGTAGGTATGTTTGCTTGCTGACCAATATTTGCAATCTGACTGCCAGTAGGTACAGCAGACACTGCTGCCTGAGCCTGGCCAACAGGCTGGACAGATGCCCCTGCAGGTTGTGCTGGGACTGCTGTGGGCTGCACTGGCAGCTGGATACCCTGTGGCTGAGCCACAGGAATCACTGTTGTTCCTGCTCCCACTCCTGCAGAACTGGGCTGTCCAGACGACATTGCTGTTTGAAGAATTGGCTGCTGTTGTACATACTCTGAAGCAGGATTTTGAGTCACTGATTTGACATGGCCTGGGGCCATCTGTGTAGAAACCATTGGTTGCTGTTGTCCATACTGTAACTGTTGGGGGGGTGGTGCCCCTGGAAGGGGAGTTTGCACTGGAGGAGCCGCCTGAGAATATGGGAGCTGGGGTTGAGCCAAACTGGAAATGGAAGGCTGCTGACCTAAAGCTGAAGTTACACCAACCACATTTACAGGCGATGGCTGGATACCAGTTGCAGCACTCATAGTGGCTTGCAGAGGTACTGGCTGAAGACTTTGCTTTTGCTGATAGCTCAGTTCTTGAGACTGCAACTGTACTTGTGAGATCTGTGACTGAGAAATACTCTGTGGTATACTAACTGCTGGAATACTCTGTGGACCAGTGCTACCAAAATCCATCTGCTGGAGGGTCACACCTTGGAGAGCTGGTTGTTGCTGTTGTTGCTGCTGCTGCACCACCACAGTAGGAGCTCCCATCTCTCCACTTCCCACACTCTCTGTATAGTGACTCAGTGTGCTGACACTACTGCTCACTGAACTCCCACTAGTGCTCTCCCTTTCAGAAGTCACTTCTATCGGATTTTGCTTTACAGTCTCCACCACTTTATTTATCAGCACACCTTCTGTAGCAGGTACAGCATTTTCTTTTTCATAGAACTCAGTGCAAGTCCATCTACCTTTTTTAAAGGGCTCAGAACTAGAATCTAACTTCACAACTCTGAACCTCGAAGTGTTAACTGTTGGTTGTTGCTGCTGACTTGAAACCGATCCCCCAGTCATCCCTGCAGCTGCAATAGGGACACTGCTAACGGCAGCGGAGGAAGAAATAGTACCATTGCCCATGCCACTCAAGATATTCACATTAACACCACTGGTAACTCCAGGCCCAACACTCACACTAGCAGCACTAGGAATATTGCTTGTACTTATATTAGCATTACCAAGCATGCTGCTTGTCATATTAGGATTCAAACTACCCACAGCAGTAATATTATTTACTGTACTAGTGCCAGTAACAGAACTTACACCTATTCCACCTGTAGTACTTGGAGCACGTATATTAGTCATTACAGATGCAGGTGAACCACTGGATGATACAGCAGAAGTTGGTGCAACTGGTGTGATACTGTCAGAGCTTCCAGTTGTAGAGAGTTTTCTAGATACTGGGCTTGAGGGTGGCCCACCAGGAATGGATGCACTGGCCACAGCAACATGAGATGGATGGTGGTGCCCATGTTGGAGGTGGTGCCCATGATGAATGTGATGGTGGTGATGGAGGTGGTGTGGATGAGCATTCCCATTGATCACAACATTCTGTTGTGGAAGGTGAGGCAAATGAGGCTGAGGAAGGTGGGGCTGGTTGGGAGAGACTGCCCCAGGTGTCTCGGCTTCCTGGAAGTTATTTAGGGTCTCTTCTGAGGAGCTGCGTTCGGGCTCCCCTAAGTCAGTAGCCCTGGAAAGTGACACATCAAGGATCTCCGAAGAAGAGAGATCTTCTGTGTGAGATTCATCCAAATCATCATAGCTCTCAGTGTCCTCTGCTATACTGTTGTTAGAGCTGATACTAGCGGAGATCTGAGCAGGAGTAACGCTAGTTATCTGGAAGCCACTTTTCTTTTTCATTTGAGTTCCGCCTGGCGCAAGAGGCTGTGCCTGCAGCTGAGCCTGCGAAAGGAGGTTCAGGCTTTGTGGAGGCGGAGGCTGTGGTCCCGACGTAGATGCTGCAGGGGGCGGCGGCTGAAGCAGCGACGGAGGCGGAAAATCCTCGGAAGATGTGGCACTACTACCGACGCCGGTACCTGCTGCATTGAGAGCAGAGGCGCTGCCACTACCGCTGCCCCTTCGAGGGAACACTGCCGGGTGCGCCATCTTCCTAGCGCTAATGTCTGCAGCGGCGGCGGCGGCCGCGGCGGTGGACTCAGGCGGCTGGTGCATTGTGTTGGGTACCGCGGGGGGGGGCCTAGGAGGCGAGTGCAATTTCCTTCTGCACCGTAATCTTTGTATTCGAGACGCCGGAGAGGAAAACGGGACCTGACGCTCCGCCTGGCGCGATTCCTCCTTCTCCTCCTCCTCAGCCGAAGGCGCCGGTCGCTCCTGCCTTCGAGAGCGAGCTTCGGAAAGGAGGATGAACGAGGGTGAACAGGGCGGCCGGGGACCCGAAGGGGGGACCCCTTCAGTCCTTCGCCATTCACTTTCCCCTGTAGCCTCACACCCCCCTTTATATTCCGTTTCACGTGGGGTGCGGGGCAGGAGGGAGGGGGAGAGCGCAGGAGGGGGAGGAAAAGCGAGAAATGCCCACCTTCTCCGGCCAACTCCGAAGCCGCCTCAGCCCCCTCCTCCCGCCGCGGCGGCGGCCGCTGCAAAGCCCTCCCGGCCGCTCTGCACGGAGGCAGCGCCGAGCAAGTGTCGCCTTCCCCTCGCCACCCCCGGGGCCGCCGCCGCAGGCGAGCCCCGAGCTCAGTGTCGCTCAAACCTCCCCTCCCGGCCCCGCTCGACCCTCCCCCCGCGCCCCGCAGACCCTTTCAAACCCCCTGGGCTCGCGGCGGCTGCTCGGTGAGGAAACGCTGGCCGCGGCTGGGGCCGGGGCGACGCGGCTGCGAGCGGGGCGGCGGCGGGGCGCCCGGTACGGTGAGCCCAGCAACGAGGCGCGGGCGGGCGCGCAGAGACGCCGGGTCCTCGCGGAGCACGGCCGGGGCGCGGCGGCGGCGGTGGCAGCGGGAGCCCAGGGACCGCTCCATCACTGGCAGCCATGGAGCCCGAGCATTTTCCTCCCTCAGGGCAGGCGCCTCGGCTCGGCACACGTCCTCGGGGAGGAAGGGGCCGGCGCCCGAGCCTCCCCGGAGGGCGGCGGGACGTGCGCTAGGGCGGAGGGTGCGACCCTCTCTTGTCCTCTTCCTCCGCAGCCGGCTCTTCCTCACCCCGCTGCTCCCGCGACCGAGCGGGAGGGGGCCACAGGCGGCGGCGGCTCCTTTCTCGGCGGCGTTGGTGGCCAGACGGGCTGGTGCAGCGACTGCAGCCGACGCCGTTCAAAGGAACGAGAGGTGGGGTTGGTCGGTGTCGGCAAACGGGGCGGGGGAGTGGGTGGGTGCCGAGGGAGGGTGTCGGGCGGGGAGGGGGCTATGGTGGTTGTTACTAGTGCTCTTCTTCGGCTCCCCCGGCTCTACCGTATCCCCCAGTCTCTCGCGGCATCGGGAGGGGAGGGACCAGCGCGGAGCGCAGGAGGAGGAGGGGCGACCGCCGGCGAGAGGAGGCGGTGGTGGAGGGGGAGGGGGCAGGCGGAGGAGGAGGAGGGAAGATGGCGTCTGCGCATGCGCCTCGGCGCCGCAGACATAAAGCCGGGTCTGGCGGGGCAGGAGGCGGCGGATCTTCGGGCCTGTGCGAGCGCCGGGTCTCCCGACGGAAATTGCCGAAGGCTGGCGGAGGCGCCGAAGCCGGGAGTGGTGGAGCCGGAGGGGATAGTGGGGGTGGGGAATTTCGGCCAAAGGAGCGAATCCGGGTCGGACTGCCTGCTTCGGCCCGGTGGGGGTGGGCAGGGTGCGCGCCTGCCGCGCGCGCAGGCTAGGTGTGTCCGCTCTTTTCACACTCGCGGCCGGCGCGCGCGGGCACGCGGCAGAGGAGGGGGCGCGGCGCGGAAGGGCCGGCGGAGGCGGCGGGAGCGCCGGCGCTTGGTGTGCGCGCCCTGGGTGGTGTCCCCCGCCTGCGGAATGGGTAATGAGGCTTTTCTCCGCAGCAACAGCATCACGAGTTTCAGTTCCCAGGAGCCCGCCGCCGCCGCCGCCGCTGCCACGACATGAGTCAGGCTTTCTTCCCCGGCGCGTGGCGGAAACCTCCTCCCCCTCGCCGCACCTGGGCTCGCCCCCGGCCCTCGCCTCCTCGGGGGATGCCCCAGCGCCGGGAGCTGCGGGGTCTACGGAAGGCCGGTGGCTCCCAGTGATAGGTGTTGTCTTTTGTGCAGTGCAGTTGCTGCCATGCGGTCTCCTCGCCCTTCCACGGGCAGGGGCGAGGCAACCGGACAGATGTTGCAGCTGTTTCCAGTTAACTGCCTTAGCTCCTCTGGGGTAGGCTCTTCTCTAACGAGGAGTGGTTGCAATGCATCCTTAACTGGAGGACACAGGCAGGCCGGCCCTGTAAACGACTGATCTCAACAGGTGTCTCCAAGCAGCGACGCCTTTTTCGTTCATTGTCCTGGCTATATCCCCATTGGTTTGACTCAAGAGGCAAGGTGGCCCGGACATGTGAGCAACACAAATGATAAGCATGCCTTTTAGGGCTAGAAAAGAAAAAGCCATCAGAAATTCCAGTTTTAAAACACACACCCACACATATTACATTTCATGGGTCCGACTATAGTTCTACAGAAGCAATGTTAGGTTTGATTGGGGGCAATTTACTGGCAGTTACTTTATTGGCATTTCATGTCAAAACCTAGTTCTAAGCATTTCTTACCAATAATCGAGAATGTCCGTCTCTCCCAGGAATTTAAAAATGATAAAGCAAGCCCAAAAGCTGTAGGGAGGAATTTTCATTTTGTTAAATTTAGGTTAGGGGAATCGGCGCTTATGGTTAGACCTCTGATTCAGGAAATCTCACGGATTTACATTCCTATTTCAGAAGATTGTTAAAGCAAAAACGATTGTCATTTGCAGTTTTGATACACCTCTAGTTGTCAATTCAACTTTTTACCTTTAGTTTTCGCTGAACTCTTCCCCTTGCTCCAAGGGGAAGCCTTCAAAAAGTGAATTATATCACCTTTTGCATGTTATTGAATAGAAGTGCACCCTCAACATCGCGTCTATCCGCTATCAAAGCTATGATACATTGTTGCTTTATCTGGGGTCTCCTACACTGAAAAGAAAAACTGGGGCTTAATATATTTATTTTTTTTACTTTATATTGCTAATGTAAACCTCTGCTAGAAGTAAATAGGCTCTCACAAATATTCAAAGTGATACAGTAATAAAAATCAAATATGAGAAGACTGTACTTGTTCTCTGATATTAATTCATTAATATGTGAATGGTTGTGTTTTTATAGAGTCATGGCTATTTGTGTTTTCACAAAAATAATTATTTCTTTTTTCTCCAACAGCTTTTGTTGCAAGTGATATGCCTGGTTAATCGCTGCCATCCATTGTTGAAATGCAAATCTGACATTCTTTTTCAATAGTTTTTGAATGGAAAATGGAAACTACCCTAACCGATTGAAACTGCAATGGATGTAAATGGGTGGAATGTCCTTTCTTTGGACTGCAGTATGAAAGAAAATGCTCTTGATCTCTCAAACTGCAGCCTTAAGTCAAAGGTTTCTTGTTTTGTTTTGTTTTTTTAAGTCAAAGTTTTAAATTACCCCAAACAGCAGCTCTACACCCCTTGGGCCACCTAAATAACTCACTATTATTGTGCTGATACGGCTTGATGCTTAATAAACACATGTATTAAAGTCTTACCCAAAGCTAACAGAATAAAAGAGCTGTTGAGATAGCCCTATGGAAGCGGATACTTATTCTAATGACCAGTAGCAAAGGGTACTGTTTGAGCTGTTTTGATGGGGGAGGAAGAGTTGGGGTGTTACTCCTTTTAAAAGAAAGGTTTAAAAAACAAAATCCAGAATTAACACAAGACATAAGAAAATAAGATCTTTTGAAGCGTATTAATTTTTGCCTGCTAAGGCTGCATCAAGTCCCACTAAGATATAAAGAGCAACTGGGCCGGGTGCGGTGGCTCACGCCTGTAATCCCAGCACTTCGGGAGGCTGAGGCGGGCGAATCAGGAGGTCAGGAGATCCAGACCATCCTGGCTAACGCGGTGAAACCTTGTCTCTACTAAAAATGCAAAAAATTAGCTGGGCGTGGTGGCGGGCGCCTGTAGTCCCAGGTATGCGGGAGGCTGAGGCAGGAGAATGGTGTGAACCTGGAAGGCGGAGCTTGCAGTGAGCCGAGATCGGGCCATTACACTCCAGCCTGGGTGATAGAGCGAGACTCCGTCTCAAAAAAAGGATATAAAGGGGAACTCTATAGTTAGGGAAATCCTAGTTTCAAAAATCTGGGTCCCTCTTCCCCCTTCCAAAATTCTTACGACCAGCAATTTATGAACACAAATACATTTAAAAAAAGGAGAAGGCACCTGAAGACTAGATTTTGTTATGCTATCATCTTTTAATTAAAAAGGTCTGGATTTTTATTGCATAAACATTAAATGCCTACTGCTATGTATAATAAAGTCATTAAATCCTTTTAACCAAGTACTTAGAGCTATCCTTTGCCTTTTGAAAGGCCGAATTTTAGCTGTTTTCATTCTGAGGCTATACGTCTGAATTACTGTTCTGTTGTTTTTTGAGACAGTCTTTCTCTGTCGCCCGGGCTGTAGTACAATGACACAGTCTCAACTCACTGCAACCTCTGCCTCCCGGGTTCAAGCGATTCCCCTACCTCAGCCTCTCGAGTAGCTGGGATTACAGGCATGTGCCACCACTCCCGGCTAATTTTTGTATTTTTAGTAGAGACGGGGTTTTACCATGTTGGCCAGGCTGGTCTCGAACTCCTGACCTCAGGTGATCCATGCACCTCAGCCTCCCAAAGTGCTGGGATTACAGGCATGAGCCACCGCGCCCAGCCTCTGAATTACTTTTCTGCTGACTCAAAGATTAGCCTTTATTGTGGTGATCACTTAAATCCAGTTGCAACATTATAAACCAACCTTATATATTTTGACATGTTCAGTGTTTACTGTACCATAAAAATAGAAAATTTGGGCTGGGTGCGGTGGCATATGCCTGTAACCCCAGCACTTTGGGAGGCCTAGGCAGGCGGATCACCTGAGGTCAGGAGTTCAAGACCAGCCTGGCCAACATGGTGAAACGCCTCTCCACTAAAAATACAAGGATTAGCCAGACAACATGGTGCACGCCTATAATCCCAGCTACTTGGGAGGCTGAGGCAGGTGACTCGCTTGAACCTGGGAGGCGGAGGTTGCCGTGAGCTGAGATCGCAGTACTGCACTCCAGCCTGGGTGACAAAGTGAGACCCCGTCTCAAAAAAAAAAAAAAAGAAAAAAGAAAATATGCGGCCGGGCGCAGTGGCTCACGCCTATAATCCCAACACCTTGGGAAGTCGAGGCAGGCGGATCCCGAGGTCAGGAGATCGAGACCATCCTGGCTAACACGGTGAAACCCCGTCTCTAGTAAAAATGCAAAAAATTAGCCGGGCATGGTGGTCGGCACCTGTAGTCCCAGCTACTCGGGAGGCTGAGGCGGGAGAATGGCGTGAACCTGGGAGGCGGAGCTTGCAGTGAACCGAGATCGCACCACTGCACTCCAGCCTGGGCACAGAGCGAGACTCCGTCTCAAAAAAAAAAGAAAATTTGCTGAACATTGTAACACAATTTATCTATTTGTGAGTACTGCGAAATAGATCAATTAAAATCAAGT